TCGAGTAAATCAATGAAATGTGAAAACACTGCTTTTTCGAACGTTCTAAAAGACACGAATATTCACAAAATATTGAAGAATCTTGTCTTCAATGAGTTTTTATAAAAGAGGTGTGTAGGTACTGGACTTTTGTATTTATTCACATAATATTGAAGAACTTCGATGATAATGGTCAAATCTCATTTTGATGATAGATTCCTTTGTTCAACTTAGATCGTATAGAAAGACACGAATATTCACAAAAAATTGAAGAATCTTGTAATTCCCGAAGAATAATTGAATCAATCAATAATTTAAATCAAACTTTATTGATGCTCTACAGGTAAATGATATGAAAATCTATTGTTACATATTAACTGCATTAAGTTATTTAATAGATATGCGTTGAAAGCTTCTCAAATAACGATATTATATTTAGTTGAAAAACTTTGTGACAGGTTTTTCTTTTTTTGTTGTAATGTCGTCGTCGATTTAAAGTGTGCATTAAGAATAAGAATAAAGTCGATGAACTGGTTTTGCCGTACTTCGATGCCTATATGTTTGCTTAAACTGAATACACGAGGGGGGTAAAATGCGAACACAAAGGAAACTCTGATAGTGCTGCAAAAATCGTTCCTTATCACAGCACGCTTATTTGATTCGCCAATTCTTCGTCATCAGAAAAAAAAAACACACACACTCACATGTTTGACATGCTCTTCTGAAGGTAAGAAAAAGAAAAGCAATTCTCGAGTGCGCGCATATTCTTGGTACAGCCAAGCTCTTCTACATTGTATTAAATCGTTAAGTCATTAAGTGATTTAATGGTGACGTATGGTGTTTTGTGTTTCTTTTTTCCCCCTTCGTCGCAAGCGTTGAATGAATTTCAAACTCGAAATAAGTTCGCGTGCCGCCGCCGTTCCGCATTTACCGAGAGGCTTATATCATTTCCATCTGGAAGCATTCTCTGTTGTAATTACGAATTAAAACAATAACATTAAAATATGTCTAGGGCTGGCTGGCATTCCAATTAAATCTCGGCCTTTCGTTCTTTGTGCGACTCTACGTTCTTTCTCCAGGTCATAAACCCCGTCTTCTAATTGAAATTTCATTATAATCTTCATTATACAACACGAACATTTTAAAATATCATAACCAGCTAAGTATAAATAGATGCATCTATTCCTCCAACTATTTTACTTATTTTTAATTTTTCATTTCCGACGCTGTTAATTAATTTAATAATTAATTAATCCAAGGGTTGAGCCTATGAAAGAATTCGCTTTAAATCACATCGAAAACTTAGTAATTTAGAGCATTTATTGCATGTGCTAGTGGCAAGTATCACTGATCACTGATTGCGAAACGCATTGGTTTTCGCGTTTAGATAATGTTCACGATTAATTACTATGCATTTATTGCCACAATGAAAAACATG